GGGTCCCAGCCGTAGGGGCGGGGGCGGAAGGATGCAGGCATCCCAAAACCCGACCCGGGCCGGGTTTTACACAGGCCTAAACTGAGAAGCAGGGCAACAGGCTGCAGGCGCTGGACACCCAGGGCAGGGATAGAGGCTGCCAGGCAGCCTGAAGACCCCAGGGCCACACACGCAGGCCCCCTCTGCTCTCTGGTCACTAACTGGCCAACTGGCCTTGGAGTCCACTGACCACAGCTAAGTCCAGAGCTACCCAAACACACCCCTTACACCTTTCAGCCTTTAGGGAGGGGCTCAGAGACAGTTGTTTCGATTCCTACTTCCATCCACAGCCCCAACACTGAGCCTGTGCCGAGGGCCGGTGGGTGGGCTCTGGGTGACACCCCCAGGGCTCCAGATGAAGGGAAACCCTGGCTCCTCTCTCTGTTTCTTCCCTCCCCCTCTGTTCCCTTGCTCCTCCCCTCTTTTTGCCAAAGGAGAAGACAGTAAGCTAGGGGCTACTCAGAGTGCACGGAGATCAGGAGACGCAGGCACAAGGAGGAACAGTCACAGCCCGTGGAACTGGCACCTTCTCACGCGGAGGCCTGGGATCCCCAGACACATGGCGCTAGGGCAATCCCGCTCCACAGCCAGTGGATTTCTCAAAGCCTTGGCTGCTCTCCTGGCCCGACACTAACTGGACGATGTCTCAGCTCACAGGTTCCTAAACGCACACCTGCCCACAATGGATCTGCTGAGGAGTGACGGCCATGGAGAGAGCCACCTCACTACAGGGAGCTTGGCACCATCCCCCATGAGGCCAGGTGTCCTCAGCCACCTGCAGCTAGAGTCCCATGAGACCAATGGGTGTGCCGCCCGGGGTTGTCCCAGCAGGCAGGCTCCTGTCCTTCGCCCAACTGGGACAGAGAACAGGAGGGGCTCCTTCTGCTTTCAAGGCATGCAGGGGCTATCTGCAGGCCACTCCCTGACACCTATGCACTTGGGGAAGTGACTGAGACTCCCATTGGCCTTTCTTCTGAAAGCCTCTCCCTGGAGGCGAAGGCCACCGAGATGAACAGTGTCTTCTGAACCTCTCGCCTGGGCTGGGACTCTGAGCAGATGCTACCCTACTAACAACACAGAGCAAGCTGGGGCCCAGGGAGGTCAGCTAACCTGCTCAAACCAAATCCAGGCCCAGCCAGAATCTCAGCTCCAGCCTGTGTGCCTTCTGATAAAACCCAACGTCACCTAAATTTCCAGTATACGCGACCAAGTCTTCACTAAGCAATAAATAACCCACACAACCCTATTCTCATGCCAGGTTCTACACGGCCGCCCAGAAAGTGACAAACGGAGCTGGTTCTTGTCGCCTTTATGACGAGTGAGAAACGCACCAACACGAAGACACGCGTGAAAGGACCTCATCTCCTAATGAGACCGACAAGCCAAGGGGTTTTTTCCACTTTCACCACCAGTGGGATCGTTCTAAGCAGTGAGGCCAAACCATTTCACAACACTATTATTTAACAAAAAGAAACTTTCTGCGGGACGTGCCTGGGGGACTGAAAAGACAGCCAGCAAAAGTGCCACCCTTGTTCTCCAGTCCATGTCCTCTCCCGAGGCAGCCTCAGAGGCCCGCGGGCTGAGGATACAGACACGAAAGCCTACCTTCTGTAGGATCAGGCTCAAGAAATAACGGGGTGCAAGGTGCCCTTTCCTGTCCTAAGGAGAAATTCTGGAACCCAACCTTATGTGTGACCATTAAGGAAAAAAAAAATCACTTTCTATGGCTTTTCACTGCTCCAGGAGCCATGTCCACAGGCCAAACGCCTGGCCTCTCCTTCACACCCCGGAGCGCTCATCCTGCCCACTGGCCCGGGCTCCAGGCCACCCCCGACCTCCACCTGAGATGCTGCCACATGCACATGCCGTATGACTTCTCAGAAGCCCCCCTATAAGGGCAGGGTCTCCCTTTCTGGGACATCCACTGCCTTCCTATGAGCTGAAGTCAGAGTGACCTGAGAATGGGCTCGGAGTTGTACCAGCCTCAGACAAGCACACCCACTTCTCAGCAGAATCTGCATGTTCAGAGAACACAGCTACTCCTTTTTCCCTTACACACAGAGTAAGAAGAGATTCCCTCTTGCAGACAGCACATCCCTTTCTGTTACTGAAAATCTCTTTCCAAAAAAAAGCAACACACACCACACAGGTGAGTCAGAGAAAAACAAGTACAAACAGCTTAGGAACATGAGAAGTGTGGCCCTCACGTTCCCTGAAAGGGATCCTGTTAACTAAACCCTCCCCTCTGGGCCAGAGCAGGCTGGCAAGGACAGAGCCTCCCTCAAGGCTGTCCCTACCCACTGGAACCAAAAGTCTTGCTGGCAAGCTATTTAAAATACTTTTCAGTACTCCAAGAATGTTATGAAGAAAAAAAAAACTTTTTAGGCTGGGCATGGTGGCTCATGCCTGCAGTCCCAGAACTTTGGAAGGCAGAGGTGGCGGATCACCTGAGTCAGGAGTTTGAGACCAGCCTGGCCAACATGGCAAAACCCCATCTCTACTAAAAATACAAAAAATTAGCTGGGCATGGTGGTGAGTGCCTGTAATCCCAGCTACTCCAGAGGCTGAGGCAGGAAAATCACTTGAACCCTGGAAGCTGAGGTTGTAGTGAGCCAAGATCATGTTACTATACTCCAGCCAGGGCAACAAGAGTGAAACTGGGTCTCAAATATAAAATAAAAAATAAATTAGCAAAAACTTTTTAAAGCCCTATTACCAGAAAATAAATCCAGGAAAGTGTGACTTAGTACAGCCTCTTTGGAAGGCACATTAGCTATTATTAAGCTAGAATTCACACACCCAGCCAGGCAAAATGGCTCATGCCTGTAATCCTAGCATTTTGGGAAGCCGACGCTGGCAGACGACTTGAGGTCGGGAGTTTGAGACCAGCCTGGCCAACATGATGAAACCCCATCTGTACTAAAAATACAAAAATTAGCCAGGCGTGGTGGCACACACCTGTAGTCTCAGCTACTCAGGAGCCTGAGGCAGGAATTGCTTGAACCCAGGAGGCAGAAGTTGCAGCAAGTCAAGATGGTGCCACCGCACTCCAGCCTGGGCAACAGAGTGACTCTGTCTCAAAAAAAAAAAAAAAAAATAATAATAATAATAATCCACACACCCTTTTACCATTTGCACGAAGCTGGAAAGCCCCAGATGCCCTATGCAGGGGCCTGTGGGGGCTGCGGTGAGCACACTGGGTCTTCCTAGCAGCTAGAAAGCCAAAGGGCAGCCTCTGTGCACTGCCTGGGGAAAATGGCAAGATCACTTTCTTTTTTTGAGATGGAGTCTTGCTCTGTCGCCCAGGCTGAAGTACGTCTCGGCTCACCGCAACCTCTGCCTCCTGGGTTTAAAGCAATTCTCCTGCTGCAGTCTCCTGAGTAGTTGGGATTATAGGCACGTGCCACAACGCCCGGCTAATTTTTGCATTTTTAGTACAGATGGGGTTTCACCCAGTTGGTCAGGCTGGTCTTGAACGCCTGACCTCAGCTGATCCACCTGTCTTGGCCTCCAAAAGTGCTGGGATTACAGGCCTGAGCAACGGCACCAGGCCAGCTAGGGATTCATTTTAAAGGTTAGAGGGCAGGCCATGTAAGCTATTAACCATGTCATTACCTACCGAGCCACCATGTACCTAGGCAGGACGGAGACTCAACCAGTGAAATTCTCCTAAAGACAAGACAAGAATCCGTCACCCCGACACCCACATCTCCAACGCCCAGCAGGAGCCACAGGCTCTCCCACTCTGGTCCTCGTGTTGGTGTGGCTGCTCCGCTCAGAGCCTCAGGGAAGCTGCTGGCCCCGGGCAGCCACAGAACCTGCCAGAGTTTCGCCCTCCGCACTCTCATTTATGGAGAAATGCCTCCCCGTTTCCCTCCCCGCCAAAGTAGAGTGAAGCAAAGAAAGACTCCAAAACCCAACAGCGCCAGCAGGTCCTGCCAGTCAGAAGCCACTCCAAGTAATTACACAGTCCCCTGATCTCGAGGCTCATGACCCCAAACTATAAATTTAGCCCTTCCCAGCCTGAATGTGTACACACTACTGAGATCCAGGCCGATCCTTACATTAGGCGGCAGCTCTCAATGCAAATAAATCTAAGTTTGGGATGGCCTGGATTCCAACATAAACTTCAAAAGCAGGGCACTTCTAAAGCCATGGCATGAGCCTGAGAATTACCAAGACCCGCACCCCCACCCCCAGGCAAATCATGTGGCATTTGGTACAAGAGATTTTCCCCCTGAAATCCCAGAAGAAAACTGTTTTGAAAAAAGCCATTCTCTCTGGCCTGGTGACAAACATACCAGCACTTAGCCCACCACCTCAGGACCACGCCCCATGCCTGCTGGCCAGCGTAACCCGGACCCGCACGTCCATCCACTCCAACACAGACTGAATATGCAGCCAAGCTCCCCTCTCTCACTACTGGGCAACCCTCATGGGGGTTCCCTGAGCCTACACGAGCCCGTCACTACCCTCATACTACTTTATTACTACTGTTTCCTTTCGAGTCAGCCCGTGTCATTGATTCCTGACAAGCCCGTTTGGGGAGCGGAAATGATTTTTTTAACTGCAATTCCCCTCTCACCAACCAGCCAGCTATTGGAGCTCTAACAGTAAACGGGCTGCTCGGCTACTCCACGTGGGTGCCACGCAAGAGGCTGGGAGTATTGCTCAGCAGGGCCGACAGGAGGCTGACACTTGGTTAAACCGCTTAGGTGGGGGAATGGAATGCCCATCGAAGCGCAGGGACCCTACTATCGCCTCACTGGAGATATTCCTAGACTGTGGGGAGAAGCGTAAAAGAATGAATGAAGAAGCGCACGTGGTTTCTGCGACCAATGACCTTAGCCTAGAACCGCTGAGACGGTCCAGGGATGCAGAAAGGTAGAGATGCGGGATCCAGGGGCGCAGGGACCCAGGGACTACGACCCCGCAACCCCTGGCCCGTGCCCCGTACTCACAGACGCAGAGGCAGGCCACGAGCTTGGCAGCCTCCTCGGGCACCGGGCAGGTGGGGAAGAGCGGCTTGAGCAGGTAGGTGGCGAAGACGAGGGCCACGATGTACTGCGAGGAGGGCCGGATGATGAGCAGCTCGATCCAGAGCTTGAGGAAGGCGGGCAGCGAGCCGTAGACCTCCAGCATGTAGGCGTAGTCGCCGCCCGACTTGGAGATGGTGGTGCCCAGCTCGGCGTAGCACAGCGCGCCCACGATGGAGAAGACGCCGCACGCGGCCCACACCACCAGCGCCAGCCCCGGCGAGCCCGCCTCCTTGAGCACGCCCGTGGGCGTCACGAAGATGCCGGAGCCGATGATGGTGCCCACGATGATGGCCACGCCGTTGAGCAGCGTGATGCTCCGCTGCAGGGTCACACCCTCGCCCTCCCCGGCGCCCGCCGGGGCCGCGCCGTCCGCAGGCTGGGCCGCCAGCATCTTCTCCCGCGCCTCCTCCTTCTCCTCGGCCGCCGGGGCCGCTACCGCGCGCCGCTTCGGACCCGCGCCCGCCATGCTCTCCGCGCCGGCCGGGCCTGGGACACTAGAGCCCCGCCGCGCTGCGAGAAGAGTCCGAGCCGCCAGCCACCAGCCTCTGCGTCAGGGCCCGCGCCCGCGCCGCCTTTTATACCCGGGCCCGCCAGCCCCGCCCACCGCGCGCGGCCCCGCCCCGCCGCCGCAACCCGCCTGCCAGGCCCCGCCCCTGCCCCGCCCTTATCCCCGCCCCCTCGGCTCAGATCGGAGCACGTGTGTCTTCGGGCCCAGCCTGGCGGGCGATTCCCGGGCCCGCGTGGTCCCCGGAGGTCCTAGTCCTCCGGCGCCGTGGAGACCCCGGCCTCGCAACCTCCTCCGCGGCGTCCGCGGCGCCCCAACCCGTCCTGCCGGGTGCGCCTGGGCGGGGTCTGGCGGTCAGGGCGCGCCTCTTCACCTGCTAGCCCGCAGCCTCGCGTCCCGCCTGGGAGCTGGCGGTGCACCAGGGATGGCCTGAGGCCAAGGATGGCGTTTGGGGTGGCAGCCCACCCACTAAAGGGAACCGAGGCTCCTGTCCCATTTGGGCTGAGGGCATGGAACCGACACCACAGCCAGCTCCTGGGGCACCCGAGAGGGACGAGAGAGGAAGCTCCCGCAGCCCCCTTTCAGCCTGGGGGAATGCATCACTGGGCTGTGAGCCTCGCCGCGAGATGGGACGAGGGAAGAACCGAACCGACCCCACCCATTGTAATTCCCTTTATATCTCTAAGGAATCTTGCCAAAGACCGGGATCCCTGGCCCACAACTTGGAGAAGCAGTAACAACACAGGCTTTGGGAAGCCATCAGTCTGCCTGAGCTCAATTTAATCAATAGAACGGGGAGCCGTAAGACCCACACCCCTAAATCTAGCTGGGGAATTCAAAGGCAGGCTTTAGGATGAAGGGGCTTTAAGGTTGTTATTCCTGGGGAGTGCGAGAGGTGTTCTAGATAAGAAGGGTTGAGATGTAATTAGAGGAGGGAGTGCAGAATGCCAAGTCACCTAGGCCTGAAATCCGGAAGGAGTATAAATACTTCCTGGAGATTGACAAGATAAGTGAGCAGCCAAAGACCTGTTCAAAGGGTGGGGGTCGGGGAAGAAGCTCCTGGTTATTCCCCCGACCCTGGGTTCCTTGGTGTGTGTCCTCCCGGGTCCATGGAAACTCACAGCAGCAGCCTGCAGGCAGGCGAGAGGCCTTCGTTCTGGTTCACGGTTGGGCCTCCCAGGGCAAACAGGCAAACACTGTTGCAGAGCTGAGTGTTCACAGCGAGACAGTCTGCTGGGCAGATGCATCTGGAATCCACAGAATTCCAAACACTAGCCATGGTGGAGGCGGGTCGGAGCCATCCTGGGACCTCCAGGAATGTCCAGGCCCCATCCTGGGGAGGGGGCGGCTGAGGAATGCCAAGGCTTGTCATTCTGGACCTTGCTCGTCCCCCAGTATGCCAGGCATTTCTCTGCAGTGATAAAACCACCCGAAATCTCAGCAGCCCAGGCAGCCACAGGCAGGGGAGCTTAGAGGTCACGCAGGTACTAACTTGCAATCTGTCGACCGCACTGCTGGCTGGGGAAGGTGCAGAGAGCCCTCAGTCCGCCCCTTTCTTCCCTCTGTGCCTGCAGAGAGAAGGGGATGGTGCCACCACGGCTGGGCAAACTCGCGGAGCAGTCACCGAGTCCTCCCCTGGGAGCTTTTTAGGCAATAGGTTAGGTGCCAATTAGAGCCATTTTGCAGATAAGGAAGCCGAGGCTTAGCAGGGTTACCTCGCTCGTCCAGCCTGCAAGGGGCCTGGGAGGCTGTCCTTTTGACTCTGAACTTACACGGTACTTTTAATCATTCTGCCATTCTTCTTTGGGCAACAGAAGGCCAAAAACTATAACCATGATAAGCCAAGGACTTGACAGGGGGTCAAGTGAGCCAGCAACAGGGACCAGGCAGGTCCAGATAGACTTCTGAGGTGGTGCCTGGAGCGGAGTCCAGAGTAAGTGAGAATTCATAAGGGAGGCACAGGGGGCCCCACATGAACAGACGGACCCTGCACAGTTGGTGCAAGTCATGGTCGGTGCCCACGGGGCCGGGCTGCTGGTGAGGGCTGGAACCCTTACAGCAGGAAGGGTGACAACAGCCATGAGCGTTTTCAGGTCATGTGGCTATTACGCCACCTCGGTCGGTTTTTACTAGGTTTTCTTGTGACAACATCTTAGATTTATCCGGCCAATCGGCTAATGTCAGACTTCTCTGATGCAAATTTGAAGTCCCGAAACGCCTTAACCTGCAAGCTATGACTCACAAATCTTAGCAAAGAGTGCCATCTGGTGGACTAATTCGGCAGCATTTTGTTTTTACAGACGACTCAGCCTGTCAACAGTCACACCAGTCTTTGCAGCTCCGGTCAGTAATTTATCAAAGGTTTTGCATTTTCAGAGGTTTAAAAAAAAAAAAGAAAAAAAAAAGCTGGGCACAGTGGCTTATTCACACTTAAATTGGTTGGGAGAAGAGTTTCTATAGAGGGAAATTTGTGTGTGTCTGTCAAAAGCCTAATTCCCTTTGACTCAGGAATTCCACTAAGGAAATAAGAATATATGCTGTGTTTTGGCTACACAGTTTTTCTGTTTTTGTTTTTGTTTTTAAATAGAGATGAGGTTTCACCACGTCAGCCAGGCTTGTCTCGAACTCCTGACCTCAGGTGTTCCCCCCAACCTGGGCCTCCCAAAGTGCTGGGATTACAGGCGTGAGCACCGCGTCCCGCCTCACAGTTGTGTTTTTTGTTTTGTTTTGTTTTGTTTGTTTTTTTGAGACGGTTTTCACTCTTGTTGCCCAGGCTGGTGTGCAATGGTGCTATCTCCGCTCACTGCAACATCTGCCTCCCGGGTTTAATCGATTCTCCTCCCTCAGCCTCCTGAGTAGCTGGGATTACAGGCACGTGCCACCACCTCTGGCTAAGTTTTTTGTATTTTTAGTAGAGACGAGGTTTCACTGTGTTAGCCAGGATGGTCTCGATCTCCTGACCTCATGATCCACCTGCCTTGTCCTCCCAAAATGCTGGGATTACAGGCGTGAGCCACTGCGCCTGGCCTACACAGTTGTTTACTATAGCTTTATTTTGTTTTATTTTATTTATTTAGTTTTTGTTTTGTTTTGTTTTGTTTTAAAGACAGGGTTTCCTCATGTTGGCCAGGCTGGTATTGAACTCCTGACCTCAGGTGATCCGCCTGCCTCAGACTCCCAAAGTGCTGAGATTACAGGCGTGAGCCACCATGCCCGGCTACTATAGCCTTAAGCGGTAATAGCCAGTGTCAGGTTAGGTGGCTCATGCCTATAATCCCAGCACCTGGGGAAGCCAAGGTGGGAGGATTGCTTGACTTCAGGAGTTCAAGACTAGCCTGGGCAAAATAGCAAGACCTCATCTCTCCCCAAAATCGAAAAGATTAGCTGGCCATGGTGGTCAGCGTCTGTAGTCCCAGCTACTCACGAGGCTGAGGCAGAAGGACGGCTTGAGCCCAGGAGTTTGAGGCTGCAGTCAGCTATCATGGTGCCACTACACTCCAGCCTAAGAGACAGAGTGAAACCCTTTCTTGGAAAAATAATAATAGCCCATATTGAAAATAAAGGACACGTCCAGCAGGGTTGCGTTGGTAAACACTGTACATCCACACAGTAGAATGAAGTGCAGGTCACTGGCAGCAATCATCATGTGTCTTTTTTTTTTTTTTTTTTTTTTGAGATGGAGTCTCCCCCTGTCGCCCAGGCTGGGGTGCAGTGACACAATCTCAGCTCACTGCAACCTCCACCTCCTGGGTTCAAGCGATTCTCCTGCCTCAGCCTCCCGAGCAGCTGGGATTGCAGGTGCCCTCCACCAAGTCCGGCTAATTTTTTGTATCTTTAGTAGAGTCGGGGTTTCACCATGTCGACCAGGATGGTCTCGATCTCTTGACCTCGTGATCCACCCGCCTCGGCCTCCCAAAGTGCTGGGATTACAGGCTTGAGCCACCGCGCCCGGCGCAATAAACGTGCTTTTACTTTGCACTGCAGACTCACTCTGAATTCTTTTCCGTGCCATATCCAAGAACCCTCTCTCGAGGTCTGGGTTAGGACCCCTTTTCTCTAACAGAGTGGGTTGATCAGGACAGAGCTTCGCGGAAAGTCGAGAAGCCCATGCAGGTCCTTCTTAAGGCTGTTTGCAGCATACATGAGACCAGGCATCGGCAGCCCCCGTCAGAGTGCCAGTGTGGACGTGGGCAGGTCACCCTCTTCCATGAGGTGAACCAGTCATTTTCTGACTCATTTGGAGAACTGCAGGGGAGCAGCCCGGCTGCAGGGCGCGGGAGGGATGGACAGTCCTGTGTGTTCTCTGTCTTGCTGCGCAGGGGCGGTGGTTTTCATCTCTCAGCACAATGCAGGAGTGAGTGCCTGGGCGGATCCTTGCTCTTTCTTTCTTTTTTTTCAAGATGGAGTTTTGCTTTTCTTGCCCAGGCTGTAGTGCAATGGCACAATCTCGGCTCACTGCAACCTCCACCTCCCGGGTTCAAGCGATCCTCTTGCTTCTGCCTCCCAAGTAGCTGGGATTACAGGTGCCTGCCACCATGTCCGGCTAATTTTGTCTATTTAGTAGAGATGGGGTTTCTGTATGTTGGTCAGGCTGGTCTCCAACTCCCAACCCCAGGTGATCCCCCTGCCTCGGCCTCCCAGTGTGCTGGGATGACAGGCCTGAACCACCACACCCGGCCCCTTGTTCTTCCTTTCAACTCATTCTTTTTCCCAGAAAAACGACTGACCTGGTAAACTCTTTAAATCAAAAACAAACTTCTAAGGGCCTCCAAGTCATAGAAATGAGCTTCCTCCTCAGCCAGGGCTTTTAAAATTTAACCTGAGAGACTGGTTCAGGCCTGGAAGGGAAGTGGAGGTTGGGCAGGTCTCCTCAAACCTGTCCTGCACTAACACCAACACAGACTTTAAGTCTGAGAAGAAGCATTTTACAGCCTGTTCTCTTTGAGTCTGCTGGCTAAAACTTCATCTACATGATAAAACTGTGATCTCCACAACCTCTTACCACAATGCAAGCATTCCTTTCTATTGAGGACAGGCCTTTTTCTTTTTTTTTTTTTTTTTGAGGTGGAGTTTCACTGTCGCCCAGGCTGG